CGGGGAGGAGACGAGCCAGGCAGGGTGCAGTATAGCAACAATAAAACATACAACTTTCCTCTAGTTCTTAAATGCTTCTTCCCCCACCCCCACTATCATGATACCAATTCTACCTTACAAATCTGCCTAGACCAGAGAACGTACACTGGTACAGATAGGAACTGGAAATACAGGGAATTCAGGACAGATGAACTCCTCAGGACAAGTGGTGAGAGGTGGAGGGAAGGTGGGGTAAAAAGGGGGAGCCAATTACAAGGATCTACATATAACCCCCTCCCTCGGGGACGGACAACAGAAAAGTAGGTGAAGGGATACCTTGGACAGTATAAGACATGACAAAATAATAATAAATTATAAATGACCAAGGGTTCATGAGAGAGGGGGGCGGGGAGGGAGGGGGAAAATGAGCTGATACCAAGGGCTCAAGTAGAAATCAAATGTTTTGAGAATGAAAATGGCAACAAATGTACAAATGTGCTTGACACAATGGGTGGATGTATAGATTATGAGCTCATAGAGTTGTATGAGCCCCCAATAAAATAATTTTTAAAAAAGAAGAAAATGATGATGGCATATGTAGAAATGTGCTCAACACTTTGGATGAATGTATGGATTGTAATAAGAGTTATAAGAGCCCCCAATAAAAGTATTTAAAAAAATTATCCAGGTTATAATTTTTAAAAAGTAAATGGATTTTATTTTATACCTCACCCTTTTGCACGTGAATAATTTGATGTGCAAATTAGGGGTTCATAAATCATAGCTATTGGGATTTGTTTCTCATAGTTAGTTTTGTTAAGAAACAACACTCTTGAATATCTCATCTTTTAAGGTAATAGGAAAAAATACATGAATTGTAATGTTTTAACCACATATTCTAATATTATCTTAAGGAGAGCCATATTTGTTTCTAATTATACATTTCAGAATTGATGGAGCCAAAAAAAACTTAGACAAAACACTGCATAAGAGAATACCTCCACTACCAGAGCCAGATTACCCTTCCACCGTAAGTTAAAATTCCTCTTTGAAATGGAATTTTGGATAAGTTAAGTTAAATTTGGAAGGTTATCCTCTTATAATTTTAATTCTTAATTACTTTTGAGTTAATTTTACTATAATTAATGTTTTAAAAGTGACACAGATTCATTTTAAGCTATCTGTATCTAATTTCTAATTTTTCTCACTGACTTAATTATATCTTGTTTGTTTGTTTTTGACAGATGTCCAGCGAAATTAAAAAAAAAGGAGTGAGTTCAAGTTTTTATGTTTCTTGTTTTGAAAATGCCCACTGTAGTGCCTTCTAAGACCGCCTGCCAAAAGGAAAACATTTAGAAACTGAGATTTCTACTTTCCCTGTCAAGGAGAGCAAGCATGTTATGGAGGACAGTATGAGTTCTGGGTTGTATTTTTCTTGCCATTCATTTTTTTTCCCCATTCATTATTTAAGGATTCGTTGTATAAATGTTTCATTAGTCAAACTATTAAAAAAAGAAGAAGAAATAGTTAACATGGCCATTGTAAGGTTTTTTTTAGGGTAAGAGTTTGATGTAATTCAAAACAAACTCACTGTCACCAAGTTGATTCCAACTCATAGTGACCCTTTAGAACAGAGTAGAACTGCCCCTGTGGGTTTTCAAGATTGTAACTCTTTATGGGAGTAAGAAAGCCTCTTTTCCTGTGGCGTGACTAGTGGTTCCTACCTGTTGACCATGAGGTTAGTAGCCCAACACATAACCACCGTGCCACCAACCACCATGCCAACACATAACCACCGTGCCACCAACCACCATGCCCACCCCCCCTCGAGTTTGACATTATGATGGTTATTTAGTCACTCAACCAACACTTGTTCTGAGTGTCTGCTTTGCTAGCCACATGCTGGACACTAGAGATGTAAAAAGGAAGCCATTGACTCTCTGGAAAATGACAAAGGCCTGTAATGTGATGGGTGAAAATATACAACATGGAAAATGTCTTTAATGGCAAAGGGTGCATAAATGTAGGGGGCTGCTTACACAAAAGAGGAAGCTATGCTGCAAGCTTCCAGGTCGGAGGACAGGTTTCCCAAGTGCCCTGTACTTTATTTATTTGTTATTTTTAGGGGTTTTCCAGGGAAAAAAACAGAAAACCTGCTAGACAAATTCTAAAAGAGCGGTAACACTATCCCTGTACTTTCTTTTGGGGAGAGTAGACTGAGGAGTAAACCACCATGTGGACTGAGGATATTTGCAAGAGCCTCATGTTAGCTACTTCAAGAGTTATTTGTTTGTTTTACATGCCTTTCTTCTGTTTCCTCCTGTCCCCCCCACCTTTTTTTTTTGGAGCCTTTGCTGTGTGTATCTGCCTCTTTACTAGGTTAAGAACTGATACAAAACAAGCCCAGAACATCCACAGGTATTTAATGGGAAGCTGGATGAATCATGAGACATATTTGCCAGTTCTTATTCTTCTGGTGCCTCATAAACAAAACGGGAGCGAATCCAAAAACGAAGTCATTCACTCCTGAAAGTGCTGCTCTTGGTCATTTCACTTATGGGAACTCCATCACTTGATCCTTCGAGTCGCCAGTGACCACCAACTACCTGCCAATCCCAAAGATGATTTTTCAGTTGTTCTCTCCTTGGACTACCTGCTGACTTTTAGAAACACTCTTTGTTTTTGAAACCATTGAACACATAGACCAGTGAAACAGACCCCGTGACCTAGGAATACGTAGACCTATGCACATACATCCAGTTGACCTTTTACAAAAGTACAAAAGCAATTCAATGGAGGAAGAACGTCTTTTCAACAAACAGAGCTGGAGCAACTGGGCACCCGTAGTGAAAACAAAACAAACAAAGCCTCCACATAGACCTCACACCATGTAGAAACATTAGCTGAAAGTCGATCGTTGACTTAAATGTAAATAGAAAGCCATAACAACTTCAGAAAAAAAGAAAAAGAATCCTTAAGACATGACACCATAAAAAGAAACAACAAAGCAATGTGTTTCACCTAAAAGTGAAAGACTCTTGCTCTGTAAAAAATCCTGGAAAGAGGAGGAAAATATGTGACACACAGGGAAAATATCTACAAATCACATATCCAACAAAAGGTATTTTGTAGAATATATAAAGAACTCTTGAAACACAGTATAAACACAAATAATCCATTTTGAAAATGGACAAACACATGAGATTTTTTTACCAAGGAGAATATATAGATGGCAATTAAGTATATGAAAGATGCTTGACATCACCGGTCTTTAGGGAAATGAAAATTATAACCATGACTTATTAGAAGGGCAAAAATTAAAAATAATGATAGTTCAGCTGACTTTTGACACTTCTGATCTTTTTATTGTGATTTAGGTATAGGTTTATAGAGCATTTCATCAGATTTATATTCCATAATTATCATTATTTTCCCTTCTAGTCCCTTATATTCATTCTTCTGGTTCCCTATTACCTCTCTGTCATCTTCATGGGTCTCTTCCTGACCAGGCAGTGGTGTACTCAGTGTCCTCTACCTTTGACTCAGGGTGATGCTCTCTTCCTGAAATCAACTGCCGTGATGGCTCTCAAGATTTATACTCTCAAGATGTCAAAAATGAACTAATTACCATCCTTCATATCTTTCTGTCTGCCTATCTATCTATCTAGCTACTTTATATACAATTAGTCATGCTAAAACATCTGTGTTTTCTCTTTCCTCCCTTCCAACCACTCACCAGCAGTCCAGTTTCTAATTGCTCTAATGCTATCACTCCTTGGTCCTCTTCTTTTCCTAGTCTTGGACGAGGCCTTTATATTTTGCCTTGACTGTAGCATCCTTCACTAGTTCCCTGTAACCTGTTGAATCAAGGCTTGAACATGCATGTAAAATGTTGTGACTCTCCAACCTCTTCTCTCTCCCTCGTATTTCATCCTCTGTTAACACAGACTGACTTATTATTCCTTGAAGGAATATTCCTGTTCTCTCCTCATTGCTTTTTCCTGGCTTGTTGTCTCACCATGCATATTCCATTTTACCTGGCTGCCTCAAATTCCTCTTTGAATATGGAACTCAGTTATCAGAAACTCTTCTATTTCAATAGGCTTGGACAGAGAAATTTCTCTTGTTCTCATTACATCCTGTTCATTTTAATTTTACTTGGTACATTCTATGATGTCTTTTTATGTATTAAAATTATGTTTCCTAGCTTTGAGGTTTGGGTTTGCTTCCTAAATTATCTGTACATCTTTCACAACTATGATATTGGGTGACTTGGCTGGAACTCAGTGAACATTGGGTGAATGAGTGAAAATAAGCACTTATGTGATAGCAGCTGTTGTGACTGAACAGGAAGAGACCAGAGTGGAGACATAAAATAGAAAGTGTTCAAGAAAGACTTTGGAAGTACGAGTTCTCTCCAAATCCCAAATTACAGCATTTCTAGGAAGCTGACGTGGTATAAGCTGATGAGGTATAAAATGAAGAAGCAATTACCATAGATTTATAGGGGACAGTTTTTTTAGTGTTCCAAGACCCCCCAAATAATCTACCAAATCATACCATATAAGATATATTGATGAATGGGCAACAGAAAAGTAGGTGAAGGGAGATGTTGGACAGTGTAAGATATGACAAAATAATAATTTATAAATTATCGAGGGTTCATGTGGGAGGGAGAAAAATAAGCTGATATCAAAGGCTTAAGTAGAAAGCAAATGTTTTGAGAATGATGATGGAAACAAATGTACAAATGTGCTTGACACAATGGATGGATGGATGAATTATGATAAGAATTGTATGAGCCCCCAATAAAATGATTTTTAAAAAGCTAGAAGGATGAATAAGATATAAGACCTAAAACAACACTAACATAAATTGTTCACACAGTTCAAAGCAATGGTAGCTTGTAGTCCGGGGAAGAAGGTTGGTGACATAATTCTTCTTCTAAAGATACACACCTCCTTTTTTTGTTGTTGCAGTTTTATAATTTTATTTGATAATCAACTGTTAGTTTTCATCCACATTTAGTTGGGCTTGTGAATATGGGGACAGGTGTGTAAATGACCAATGTATTGTTCTGTGAATCTTCATCCTGGTTACATTTCCTGCACAATTATACCTGGATATGGTACAGAAGATTTCTGATTCCTTTGGCCCACACAGCTTTGTTGAGCCTGGTGTTGCACATCTGGTGTCGCATCTTCATGGCAATTTCCAAATCTCCTTAGTGCCTGAGGGCATGCTTTTTGCGGCCCAGGCCGTGGATGTGCTTGTGAGCGCTGATGGTGTCCTTTCTGGTCGTTCAAAGCAGGAAGGCCCTCATCTCACCGCTCTTCTTCGTGGGCGCTGTGGTGCTGGGACCCATACTGCCTATTCAAAGGCTCGCTGCACCGTGAAGGCTGAGTGCTAGTTTAACCTTTTGCCTTTTGGGGGTTGGTAAAAGCAGAGATTCTCTTTGGACTTCTTTCAGTTACCAAAACTGGTACCACTGTAGATCTTTTGTAAAAGCAAAGTGGCATAAAGCAAACGTTCGAAAAGCTGAGGCATACCTGTACATGATTTGACTAAAATAAAAAAAGCTTTTTGCTAAAGGAAGAACTTAGAGCTTACAAAATTCTAAGGGCCAAATATATTCTTATCTTCAGAGATGAAGGTCTAAGGTCTAAAAATCAAAACGGTATAAGTTATGGATACATTATTATAATAATGAGTATAAAGTTTCCTATAACAAACAAAAACTTTCCTATCCCTACATGGCCTTAAGGAGCCCTGGTGTCATATTGGTTATGTGTTGGCCTGCTAACTGCCAGGTCAGCAATTTGAAACCACCAGTAGCTCAGAAGGAGAAAGGCAGGCTTTTGACGCCCGTAAAAAGTTACGATCTTGGAAACCCATAAGGACCGTCGTCTACCTTGTCCCACAGGGTCGTTATGAGTCAGAGAGGACTTGATGGCTGCGTGTACCCGGCCAGATCATGACGTTACTTAGAGCTTGACCTAAGTAAAGCTTTGGAGAGCTTTCGTTAAGTTTGAGGGATTGAGAAAATATCTTCCTTGTTTGTAACGCATTCATTTATTAATATGATAATGTCTACTCTGTACTTGGTTCTGTGCTGGATGCTAAAGGTTGGTGAAGAAGAGAGGAAACATTTTTGCCTTTGTGGAGTTCATATTTTAATGCAGTAGGCATGCGATAAACACATTTTTTAATTGTGCTAAGTGCTCTGTGGGAAATGCAGGCTAGTAGGACAGAGATGGGCTGGGAGGGCGTGGGGCCCTCAGCTTAGGTCAGTGGGCACCCTTCAAGCTGATGCTTATTGGCACACCCTGTCACTGAGCACCTTCTTAGGTCTCACACAGATGTTCCAGGCTCTCCTGTATTTTCCTAGTTCCAGCGCTAGAATAACCATTTCACCAAGGATTTCTTTCAGTGGAGAATGGTATTTGGAAACCATGGTTGGAGTATTAGGGTACGTCTTAGGGAACAATTATCTATAAAAAATCCCTGATTCTAATTAAGCACCATAGGATTTTTCCCTCTGTGCATATTTGTAGCTTGTCTGAGTTGGAATCGACTTGATGGCAGTGACCTTGGACTTTTAGTAGGTCCATTTGCTTGTGTTTGTTTTCCATATTAGTTTTCTCTTGTTTAAACCCATCTTAACAATTTTCTTAAGCTGTGTAAAGCTGTGACATGATTTAAAAGTCAGAAATATACCCAAAAACTCAAACCAAATTCACTGCCATTGCGTCGATTCTGATTCATGGTGACTCTGCAGGACAGCGTTTCTGGAACTATGACTCTTGATTGGAATCGAAAGCCTTGTCTTCCTCGCTTGGAGTGGCTGGTAGTTTCACACTGGTGATGTTGTGATTAGCAGCTCAACGTGTAACCCTGTGCTGCCAGGGCTCCTGACTATACCCAGAGGAGTACTCAAAGATGAGTCTTTCTCCTAGTCATTCCATCGCGCCTGCTTTCTATTCTAGTCCAGCCCAACCCCTTTATGTAAACAGTTTCACTAATTTCTGGTTTAATTTTGCACAGATAATAGATTTTTATTTCCCCACTTATGTTATACAAGATATATCACACTGTAGCTACTCTTTTGCATTTTTTAATTTATCAAAAAAATATCCTAGAGGGGGGTGGGGTGGGGGAGGATCAGAAAAAAAAATCTCCTAGAAATCACTGTGTATCAATCCATAAAGAATGATCTGGTAATGCTATCTGGTAAGTGCTGGGCTGCCACCTGCATGGTTGTTGGTTCAAACCACCAGCCTCTGAGGGAGGAAAATGAGGCTGTCTGTTCCTGTAAAGCTTACAGCCTCAGAAACCCTTTAGGGACACTGTAAGTTGAAATAGACTTGATGGCAGTGGGTGGGAATTCGTTTGTATCACTCCATAGAATACCAGTGTGTAGCTGTATAGTAATTTACTGAAATACTCTTAAATGTTTCCAGTATTTTGTTGCAACGACTAGCCTGTGTACATATATTTTCATATTGTTGTAGGTGTATCCTTAGTTTCTAGAAGTGGTATTGCTGGGTGAATTTGTTGGATATTGTCAAATTCTTCTCTGAAAGAGTTGTGCCAGTATAAATTCCTGCTAGCCATTTATGACAGTGTCTGTGTCTGAATAATATCATCAACAGAATGTAGGCTGATAGATACCTCTTATTTTTTGCCTAATCTCATAAGTGAGAAACAGTATCTCAGTTTAGTTTTAATATATTTTCTCTAATCATGAGTGAGATTGAACAAATTTTCATGTGATTAAGGGATATATATCTATTCTGGGTGTGTGTGTGTGTAACATTTTAGTTTTAAGTCTTCTGTTAATTTTTTCCCCCTCTGTTAACTTTTAAATGGCTGTTTTTTTCTTCTACTAGTCTTAAAGCATGCATTCATGCTTTATCTGAGTTGCATGTTGCAAATATTTTCGCTCAGACTGTTAATATTCATTAGATTTTATTTGCCATGCTGTTTTTATTTGATGCAGTCAAAATGTACAAATTATTCCCCCCCTCCAGAATTTGAATCATAGTTAGAAAGTTTCCTCCTACACTCAAGTTATAGAAGAATTCATCCATGTGTTTTCTAGCCCTTGTATAGTTTCCCTGCTTATTTGGAGTTTTCTTATAGATGATATAAACTAGGGATTAAATTTGTCTTTTCCCAATAGCTACCAGTTGTCCCAGCACTATGTATTTAAACTGCCATTATTGCCTCATTTACTTTAATGACACACTTATCATATGTTAAAATTTTCCATATATTACATCTGTTTCTGGACTTTTTATTCTTTTACACTGGCCAGCTTGTCTATTCCTATACCTGTGCAACACTGTTCTAATTGTAGAGGCTTCGCAGTAGAGTATAATGCCTCCCTTATAGATTCTCTTTCTCAGGGTTTCCCCAGCTCATTTCTCATGCTTATTTTTCTACATGAACTTTAGGATTAGCTTGTCTAGCTCCATAAAAATGGATGTAGAAAATTTTTTTTTAATGGATGTAGATATTTTTATTGACATTATGTTGAAATACATTTTGGACAATATGAAATATTTGTGGTGTTTAAAAGCCCTTGCCTAGGCCTGTCTGGATAGGACAGGCTGGATGAACAATCTGGAGGAGAAAACAACGGGACTGACAGTTCCGGGGGGACATGGGAGAGGGGGAGGAGGGG